AAAAAGACAGGGTTCTTACATTTCTTTCTGCTGATCCTTGGCAGGCATCTCTTGAACAAACTGTTTGCTTTTTTGTTGTTTTTTTTTTTGTTGTTTTGTTTTGTTTTTTAACCCTAAATATTCAAATAATTTCCTTGGTTAACCTACTTAGAATTTAAATCCAAGAGATTAAGAAAAACTTCACTACAGAAGTGTTCAGTTCCTACGTGCACCGCCTCTGTTGCACAACCCACTGTTCTAACTTAGTCCTTCTTGAATAGGATGAGTTACTTATCTTGTTAAGATAGCTACAAAGACAGTGTCTGCGGTGTGAATAACCTAAACCAGGCAATTAAAAACAAGCACACAAATGCTTATTGAAAATATCTTAGCTTGGGAGGTCAAGCTCTGTCTTGCAAAGATGAATATGGAAATCCTTTATTTTAAAAGTATGTCACAATTTAATTATTCTGTTCAAAATCATGCTGGTAGCAATGCTTGCCTCCTTTTGATCTAAAATTTAGGGCTAGAATGGGGGTCTTGGCTATAAAATACCAACTAAATTCTCTTTTCTGTCTGGTTGCATTAAAATCCACGTCTCTCACTTGCTTTGGAATGGTAAGATGATGACAAACATTTAAATTAATTGGAAGAATTGCACTTCAGGTCTTTCTGCTCTGGTGAGTGTTACCAATTAGAATATGAAATTGTGCTCTCAGTATTTTCTGTCAGGCCTACTAAATCTTTAAATATTTCATGCAAAATGGAAAAGTTTCAACGTGGAAAGATGAAAAGAGCTGCCTGCAGCAAGGTTCCCAAATTCAAATAGAAAGAAGTGTGTTACAGTGCCCTGAGAGTGCAACAATGCAATTTTTAGTGAACCAGATAGGAGGAACTCCTGTGTCATTGGTTGTGTTTATACAGTAGGCTGGAAATTCATCTAACCAATATGCCAAGGTGTGGGAAATGTGAATTTGAAACCTTTAAGGCAGTGAAGGAGACTGAATCATGTTCCACTGCTTACAGATGTAAATTTTGTGCTACTGGATGAAAGGCAACCCCATTTCCTGTGCTAATTAGCAATCCTTAAGTTGCCCCATGGAGGTAATAGAGGCAGTGTAACACCTTGTAAGAAAATATGCCTGCACCTTGGATGTTTAAGATTTAAATTTCAGGTGATCATAGAGGTGGGTAGTACTAAGATGAAAGTACACTAACCAGAAATAGCTTTATTAGTGAGTCATGCTTACAAAAATACCTTTGTAATTTGCAGATGTAGTTATAATTTGTAGTGAGGCTTAAAGACCGACTTTCATTACTGGAAAAAACAGCAAATCCTCAAGGTCTGAAATAAGAGCAGTAAGCTTTCAGGAAAGCATAGATTGAACATAATTGCTTTGACTTTAAATACATTGTCTATATTACACTACTTAAGACTTTGATCAGTACTTTACCCATCAGAATAGGATGTAACCTAGCTTAATGGTAGTAAAGGCATTTTTACTTGTATGTTTCTAGATGGGATCATTTCAACAGTATTTTTTAAGTTTGACAGAAGTCTCTGGTAAGGTTCTAGAAATAGGATTAAGTGACTAACGTCATGAAGACTTGGAAAAGATTTTTGCCTTTCTGGAGCATCACTGATTTAAAAGTGAAGCTTGAGAAATGGATGAGAAGCTAAGACTTGTCTGCTCCTTCAGAGGGAAAAGGATGTTTTGTTTGAAAGGTTTTGGAAGAAAGAGCCAGAACATCTGAAAGACTAGTTTATTTATGATGTCAACTAATAAAGAGCATTGTTCCATTATTCTGAAAAACATTAAAAAAAAAAGTTGGAAAGCGGAGAAAAGAACTCATTTTGCATACCTCTTTCATGTTGGAAAGGAGTGGGTGTCAGAAACACAGAATGATTTTCTGTGGCTTATTTTCCCACCACCTTACACATAATGAAGTTTCTTCTCAGCTGAGCAGCTCAGAGAGCAGCGATAGGAATTTGCAGTGTCAATGCCAACCTCTCCTGTCTCCCTACTCCTTAGTTTTTCCTTAAAAACTGCATTCAAGGCCATTGCCTACCAGTTATGTTGGGTGTTCTTTAACTCTCTTTTCATTGCTTAAGACTGATGGATCACATAAGGGCTGTTTGTCACTGTTGCTGAATTTTATTTCACATCCCATTTCTGAATAATAGAGCAGGCTGCTTTTGTTTTTGTTTTTGTTTTTTGATCCAGGTGTTCTAATGGGGGCTTTCCCAGCTTTGGGGGCATAACTTTGTGGGTCTATGAGACATGACATTTGCCTGTGTAAGCTGAATTGAGATTTCACAGCAGATCAGCTGATTGCAATTCTAATGCAGGAATTTTGTTGTGGTGATTTAGTCCGCTGATGTTTATAAATAACCAAGTTTGATTCTGAGACAGCACTGAGTAGAGGAAGTCATTTCATTTGGTAGATGATGTGGTTGCTCAGAAGCTCTTTTCCCTCTTGGAAGAAAGGAAATGCTGAAGAGGCAGGATGTGGAGAGGCAGGTGGAAGCGTGTAGGAACTTGTTTGTTAGCTGCAGAGCAACACGCAGCTGGGCTCTGGATAAGCTGGGCTTTTCAAATCTCTGTTTGCAAATGGAATTAACTTGTGTGGAATTGTTCAGTTCTGGTGAGGTTATCGATTTTTGAGTTCAAGGAAATTTAAGGATGTTTTCTCACTGCTGATGTAGTCCTACTGACTATTGGTGCTGTATAGTACAGATAAGACAAACTTATTGTGAGCATGGTACATTTTCTCTCACAGCTTGATCGACGTACGTTAATTGAACAGATTGTAGTAGCTCTGATTGCCTACCTGCGTGCTGGCATGTTTGCAGTGGTGCCTCATTTTTTAAACTTGAAGGTCTCCTGACATTCTTACTTGGACTGCGTTTTGGAGAAATGACAAGAAATGAAATTGGAAATCTTTATTAAAACAAAACAAAAATAGATAAAAAGGTTTTCTGAATTCAGATTGATTCCATTGAGATGTTTCTTCTCTTCTTTTCTATTACTGATACCAATCTGAAAATAAATCGTAGCACCCACCAATATCACAAAATCACAGAATTGCAGGGGTTGGAAGGGACCTCCAGAGATCATCGAGTCCAACCCCCTGCCAAAGCAGGTTCCCTACAGCAAGTCGCACAGGTAGGCATCCAGGCAGGTCTTGAACATCTCCAGAGAAGGAGACTCCACCACCTCCCTGGGCAGCCTGTTATCTATTAATAATATATCAGCCTGTTTCAATAGATTATCAATATATAAACTAAATGCATATTTAAGAAGAGTAATCAATTATTCTCTAGCATAATAAACTTGTGCTTAGTTATCACACATTCTGTAACCTATTGTTTTAATTTAATAATAGCATGACTGTCTGCCAAGTATTGTGCTACTGAAGAAAAGATAATTGCAGCACCTTCAATCATTTGTGAAGCTACGCTTTTAAGCTGATTTCATTTTATGGTAATAACATAAAAAATGGTTCCTCTTTCATCTCCACCAGCTCCTTGGCTACATTACGTATTCCCAACCCTACTTTGTGCCAGTTGGTGTAGTCACGTTATCAACTGGATCAGAAAGCTGGCTGAAGAGACTTTGTTTTGGTGGAGCCCGTATTCATCTAGATGAAGTTTTGATCCAGTTCTGAGTGCCAGCCACTTAAGAGAGCTGGCCTGTTCGTTTAATAGCACTGTGGACACAGATGAGCTGATTGTGAAGCGGCATTGTAAGTTTTGAAAACTCTTCTTAGGCCAGCTGGAGAACTTGATTTTTCGTAAAGAAAATAAGATTTGACTGCCTTTATGCGTCTTTCCACATAACAAAGCTAAGTGTTAAATATTTCTAAAACAGTTTAAAGCTAGATATGTTTACTGCAAATGATATTTTCTGCTTTGTTTTCATAGTATCACAATGTGTCTTCTGCATTGTTTGATAACAGTTGATAATACTAATACTTCACTCCTCAGGAATACTGGAAGTAACTATTGCCAATGTCGGATTTTTGTAATGTAAATGTAGACCCTAGAGATCAGTCTGTCTGACTTGTTCACTTTCAAACAAGATTCTAAGCATGTCTGCCACATGAGAAGAAATGTGTAAAGACATATCACTCAGTGGTTATCTCATCTGTGGTAATTCTTTGATCTTTGTTCAGTGTCTTAGTACTTGTCTCTTACTGACTTATGTCAAAACTTCTGTCTCACAGAGAAGAATACAAACATTTACGTAAATATGAAGTAGGGACTTCTTCCCATGCAAGCTGTACTTCTCCTGTTTTATCCCAGTAAATTATACTACTGTATGCACAGTCACTGAGATAGAATTTCTTGTCTTGCACAACCACAAATGACTGCTGATCATTTGATTGACTGCACATTGCTCTTTGTAAGGCAACAGTTAGTTCTCTACTAAGGTCCTCATGCATACAATTGTGTGCATTACAGTCAGCATATATCCATTTCTCTGTAGTTGTATTTCTTTTTGACATGATCTAATCTCATCTGTAAGTCAACTGGGGGAGGTCTGTGCTAGGTGTAGTTTTGGTACTGAAGACCTTCATGGCTGATTACATGTTATTAGCTGGTACATATATTTTTATAGTCCCTTTGCTTTGCTGAGACAGTAATTCTCATCCAGATCTTCCTATGCAGAATTCTTCTGTAAGATAGACAAATACTTGGGGGAGGGCAAGGGGGAACCTATCAATTTTTGCGTACTGATATTTTCCCTTTTGAAAAGGTGATTTACTTAAGTTGGTAGAAGTGGGAGAGTCACTTGAGTGAGAATTTCCATTGTTAAACAACTTCTACCATATGGAAAAGAAGGGACTTGAATTTTCTATGGAAAACCGTTAAAATTCTGCTTTGAAAAAACAACATTGACTTGCCAACACTACAGTTTTCTCTTTGTTGGTAGTTGAGGAAGACTGAAGTGGCCCATATTGTTCTCCTTATTTCTCAGTGGAGGGAATCCTCTGATTTTATTTCTTTATTCTTCTAGCATATGCAGATGACTATCCAGGCTCTTCAAGATGAACTTCGGATCCAGCGGGACCTGAACCAACTGTTCCAGCAGGACAGCAGCTCTAGAACCAGTGAGCCCTTTGTGGCAGAGCTGACAGAGGAAAACTTTCAGCGGCTTCACACAGAGCATGAGCGCCAGGCCAAGGAACTCTTCCTCCTACGTAAAACCTTAGAAGAGATGGAACTGCGCATTGAGACACAGAAACAGACCTTAAATGCACGCGATGAATCCATCAAAAAGCTGCTGGAGATGCTGCAGAGTAAAGGTCTGTCAGCAAAAGCCACTGAGGAAGATCATGAACGAACAAGGCGGTTGGCTGAAGCAGAGATGCATGTACACCACTTGGAGAGCCTTCTCGAACAGAAGGAAAAAGAAAACAACATGCTTAGAGAGGTATGTGACCGAGCTGTGGGTTCAACTCTCATCTTAATGCCTAGTTCTCCATCTCCTCTCCATTTCATATTTTCAAGGAAAGAGTTTTCCATCCTTCTACAAGCTGTGTTTTTATGTTGCAGATTTAACAGAATTTGTCCCTTTCTTAAAATTTCTTTGTTTTTCTTGCATGTGGTTTCTGGTGTGTTGTATGTTATGTTCCACTTTCCCCATCACCGCAGTGTTATACTTTGGAGATGAACTGTTACCTGGACTGTAAAATGTATTCCTCCATTCTGTTCTGGTTTGAGAGAAAGTGAGAAAGTAGCTACCTGTATTTAATAGAGAGCTGAGAGAAATCTTTGCAGGAGTAATAGATGATTTCTCTGCGGTTTCCATGGAAACAGTCATCTTGCTGAGAAGGGTATTTGATAAAACTATTAGCTGCCCTGGATGCACAGCCAAAAAAAAAAAAAAAAAAGATTACTTAAAGGGACACTGCTGCAAATATTGCAAACCTTTTCCCCACCCCTCTGAAAACAGAAAAGACATTATATCTGTATATCTGTTTCATAGCATAAGAGTATGATGGCAGGCATTCTACACAACTAACTATCCAAAATTAATTACAACAAACTTCAGGCAACAGATAGTATGAGTATCTTGCAAAAATAAAGGAAAATAAATGAGTTGTGCTGTGGCCAGTGTCCTTAAATTCCTTGACATTAAGTGCATTTTCCAATTCTAGTCAGCTAGCCTTCTAAAGTATTCCAATATTAACTTCTAAATAACTAGTAATTCAGTGTGTGTTGTGTATGTATTCACTAATGATAAGATTTTCTGTAAAGGTTATTTAATATCCATCTCTGGATTGAATGTGTGAATTGATAACTATATGTGTATGTCTAACGTTTGTGTGAATCTAATGGCTTGTTTATGCATTATATGTCTATTATGTGATTCAACGTGTTTTTGAAGCTGGACATACCAAAACAGTAAGCCCCCTCTCAAAAAAAACACCAAGGAAGTGAGGTCTTGCAAAGAGATTTTTGAAATGAGTGTTTGCAGCAAATATATACCTCCACATACCTCTTACTTATGTTTTCCATGGCCCAACCCATTGTACTTGTGCTCTTGTAAGCATTTATATAAGAAAGCAAGAGCCCATTGCATTTCTGAGCCAGATTTAGGCCAGATTTATTTTTTTTAGAGCAGTAATCTCTTGAGTGTCTGAAGTGAAGATAATATGATTCCAGAGTTTCTACACTATGATTTTTCCTTTATTTAGCAACCAATGATAATTCTGTTCCAATTCTTGTATCTATTTCAGGAGGAGCCCCAAATGGCTTCCATTTGTTTCTGTTTTAAGTCCGGCATCTTAAATGAGAAGCTGGCAGGAGCTGTGTAATTTTTCAGGAACGCAGTTTCTTTTGTTTCTGCATAATGATGAGTAGGTGTTGAGCGAGAAGAATCCTTGCTTCATTCTCAAACGTCTGGAAATCATCAATCATTTAAATCTTAGCATTTACATGAAAAGATTTTCTGGAGAAGGTAGAGATTGCTATTGATTTTGAAAGAGCAAATGCTGTTTATCCATCGTATTTTAAAACTAATTGCTCTTTGATGCCAACCTCTTTCTAATGCATTGAGAAAGATAAAGTGGGTATGCTGTAACTAGTAGCTCAAGCTGTTGACATAGTGTGGAATTCAGCCTTGAAGGTGAGCACCTCAGTAGCCTCGGAAATATGATGTCATGTGAGAGATGCCAAACCATCTCTGTGTGGAATTGACCATGCTGATTGAACTCAAGCTTGTTAGTACAAATCTCATGCATGGGGGTCCAGAAGGATGGAGAAAATCAGGGTATACTACGGAATTGAAGCTGACTGCGGCTGAACCAATATTAACTCAGGTTAGTAAAATCTGGCAAGCAAACTTAAAAAGTTCTTGGGCACAAAGTTGCTCTGCACTACAGGATCTGGTTCAGAGTTGCTATCATAGAATCACAGAACCTGTAGTGTTGGAAGGGACCCTTAAGGGTCATGTTGTTCAACTCCCGTACAATGAACAGAGACATTCACAGCTAGATCAGGTTGCTCAGAGCCTGATCCAGCCTTGCCTTGAATGACTTCAGGGACAGAGCTTTCACCATGTCTCTGTGAAACCTGTTTGAGTACCTCATCACCCTCCCTGTAAAAGACTTTTTCCTTATTACCAATCTAAATCCACCCTTTTTTAGTTTGAAGCCATTTTCCTTTATCCTGTAATCACAGACCTTGCTGAAGAGTCTGTTCCCTTCTTTCTTGTAGCTTCCCTTTAGATACTTAAAGGGCACTGTCAGGTCACCCTCGAGCTGTCTTTTCTCCAGAATGAGCAGCCCAGCTCTTTCAGCCTATCCTCTTAGGGAAGGTGCTTCATCGCTGAACGTGCTCTAATAGGTCCATGTCTTTCCTGTACTGAGGGCTCCACATATGGATGCAGTGCTCCAGGTGAGGCCTCACCAGTACACGGCAGAGGATCAACTCCTTCATCCTACTGGCCATGCATCTTTGGATGCAGCCCAGGATACGGTTGGCTTTCTGGGCTGTGAGGGCACATTGCTTGCTCATGTCCAGCTTCCCATCCACTAGTACCCCCAGGTCCTTTTTGACAGGACTGTGCTCCATCCTTCCATTCCCCAGCTTGTGTTGGTAACGGGAGTTGTCACGACCCACGTGCTAGACCTTGCAGTTGACTTAGTTCAACCTCATGAGCTACTCTTGAGCTCAAGCCTGTCTAGGGCCTGCTGGATGGCATCCCTTCCCTTAGGTGTGTCTACTACACCACACGGCTTGGTGTCATCTGCAAACTTGCTGAGGGTGCACTCAGTCTTACTGTCGACGTCATTGATGAAGATATTAAAGAGTATCAGTCCCAGCACTGAACCCTGGGGGGACACCACTTGTTACTGGTCTCCATCCAGACATTGAGCCTTTAACCACCACTCTATGGATTCAGTCTTGTAGCCAGTTCCTTGTTCATCAAACAGTGCACCCATCAAATTCACGTCTTTCCAATTTGGAGAGGATGTTGTGGGGTACCATGTTAAAGGCCTTACTGAAGTCCAGATAGATGACATCAGTAGCTCTTCCCTTGTCCGTTGCTGCATTGACATCATCATAGAAGATCACTAGGTTGGTCAAGCAGGATTTCCTCTTGGTGAAGCTACTCTGGTTCTCCTGTATCACCTCCCTGTCTTCCATGTGCTTTAGCAGAGCTTCCAGGAGGATCTGCTCCATGATCTTTCCCTGCACAGATGTGAGACTGACAGGTTGGTAATTCATGGGTCATCCTTTCTACCCTTCTTAAGAATAGATGTGATGTCTTTTTTCCAGTAACAAGGGACTTCACCTGGCTGCCATGACTTTTCAAGTATTATTGTCACTGCACCACATTTGTGTAGAAAAGGGTCCCTGTGCAGGTCCTGTAAGATGTGTCCGTATCACCTTCCTTGCCTAATCTTCTATTAGGCGTTTATCTGTGTTTCTACATTTAGTTTAGTTTAGCCCTTGGCTACCTTAAATACTAACTGCGCAATTTTTTGAGCTGCCTTGAAGAAAACTGTCTATTTAATTGGTTGTTTTATAACTGCTATACCCAGTATCTGGAGACACGTTAAACTCTTCTCTAAAGCTATTAAAAGGAGCAGTAATATTGCAAATTTGCAATATTTGCATTTGCATGAACTATGAGGATGCTTCGTATTCTAACACATCAGAAAATCTGAGAGAAGCTTCTGTAGCAGTTTTTACCATATTAGCCAGAGTGTGTTCTGAGATGTCAGAATCCATGGTTACTATTTATAAGCATGTTACTCTTTTGTTGAAGATATTTGCTAGGAATAATAATAAAAATCTATATTCTGAAGGAAAAGATATTCCTTTATTTTTCATCTTTGAAGCTTAATTGTAGTGTAGAAAGTGATGTTGAGACTGAAGGACATCAGATGGTGTCTCAGATGGTGCAGGAGCAGTGGCCAGCAGTCTGACCTTAAAAAGCAATCATAAATTAATTGGTTTCTTCTATTACTGTGATTGAACTAAAGATTGCACTAATTTCCAAAGGAAGGTAAGTTCTTAACAGAATCACAAGTCTGAGCTCTCTACATTTATATCTACAGAAAAGCTTACCAAGGATCCCTTTCTTTCAGTATTCTATTTCAAATAGTGGCCATACACAGGCACTTAGGAATGGGTAGGGCAAACATGGTACTTCTCTGTAATGTTGCCCTATATTCAAAATTATTTTCAACTCAGGGATTTCCTGATGGTCTTATGATGTGTCAATTTAGTAATTTCCATGGATCTACCATGTAAGTACTTAGTCAGTGTCTTGTCCAGCCCATGTAAATTTTTGTAGCTGTGGCATCATCTTGTTAGTGGTTCTGCAGGCCTATTGTCTGCAACAGGAAGAACATACTTCTTTTCTTTAGGGTTTGAATCTGTCTCTCAGTATCTCACTTGATGACCTGTTATTCTTGCTCCAGAAAACAGAGTGAATAGAGGATCACTACTGGGACTGCTGTGCCAACTGTGATTTTAGATTTCTGTCATATCCTTTCCATGTTCTCTCTTTTTGCAGGATGAAAACTCATTTGCTTCTTAGGTGTGCCTCATGTATGCCTCATATATCAAAGATATGCAATATCTTTGATAATATCCCAGAGCACCGTCTCAGTTTATTATTCAGGTTATGAAATGGATTCTCCTCTTGATTGATGTATCTCTGATCAATTTGACCCTGTTGGACTTTCCCCAGATGTTTTCCTGAATTATGGGCAATTCAAATAATCTTTCCATACTACTTCATAGGAAAGATTGGGTACCCAGCATAATGTAGGATGTATTTGGCAGTGCACAAATACAGAGGACAGTCTCTCATGAACACAAAAAGTGAAAAATTATATATTTTATTGAACATCTGGGCACAGATCTGCATGCAGTAACTTCAGCAGAGTGTGATTGCATTGCGTTCCACATTCC